TCAGAAGATTGCCTCGCCTCAAAATGCCTGCGGCGCTGATAAGATCACGGATGGGCTTGTTGGCTTTTCGTCCGGCAGCTTCTCTGATGGCACATGGAGGGACGAGTACCTTGGGGTGAACGCCACAGTAACGGGGAATGATGGGGAGAAAAAAGCGGCAACAACGGCAACAGTGGCAACTGAGAATTCCGATGGCGTGACCTTCCGGGGAGCGTGGGCGGAGTGGCCTGTTGGCAGTCAGGGGGAGAATCAGCTGTACCACTTTGCGAACTACAACTTCACTCTTGTGGCGACGGTGTCCATCGACAAGGTGCCGGAGGAGGGAGATACCCCCATTCCTTTGATGGGTGCGAAGATGAATGATGGGAAGACTGTACTCCTGGGACTGTCGTACAACAACAAAGGGAAGAAATGGATGCTACTGTGCGGTGGCGGAACGAAGTCAGAGGAGCTCAGCAGCCCTTTGAAGCCGGAAAAAGCACACCAAGTGGCCATTGTGCTGCAGAACGGCAACCAGGGCACCGCGTACGTTGATGGTCAGCGTGTGGGTGTGGGTGCGCCGTGTGAATTGGGAAGCACGGAATCCCAAGAGATCTCCCACTTCTACATTGGAGGGGATGGACGCAGCGCAGGGAGCCGAGAAGGCGTGTCTGTGACGGTGACGAATGTCCTGCTGTACAACCGCCCGTTGAGTTCCGCGGAGATGACTGCGCCTAACACGGAAAGCGTTAATATTCCAAAGCTGGATCATGCAAAAACAGAGCCGAGGGGTACTCCGTCTACTCCCGCCGGGCAACAGCCGTCGGAATGGGGGCATTTGGTGGGAAGCAGTAAAGATGCGAGTGGTGGTGTGGAGAGGGCCGATTCACAGATCAGGGAAGTAAATGCTACGGCACTCAGCAGCAGCCTCGGAAATGTGTCGCAAGAAAGTAACAGCGATGCCGGCACCATGTGTGGGAGCGGACTGCTGCCATCGCTTCTGCTTCTGTTGGGACTGTGGTGGTTTGCCGCTCTGTGAGGAGTGACTGGCTGCCGCGTGGGACACTTGCGAGCTTCCCAGCACAGAATTACTTTTCCCGAGGAACTAACTTTTTTTCTTAAGGCGATTTCTTTTTTTTTTTTGCTTTTTTTATAATTGTTTTTTTTATTGCTGTGCGTTTTTTTTTTTTTTTTTTTTTAATGTTTTACTTTTTTCTTTTTTCATGTTTTTTTCCTTCTCACTCCCCCATCCCTTTTTTTTTTTGCTTTTGGGGCAATCACTATGGACGTTTTTTTCTTTTCTACTCTTCCCTCTTTTAATTGTTTCTTCTGCACTCTTCCTGTGAGGGGTGCCGTGTGTTTCCCGCCCAACTGCTCCACTCGCACACCCACCGACACGCTCATGACGACGGCCCTGTGCGCCTCGCCTGCTGCACGCATGAGGAGGGGCCGCGACGAACGGCGCGCTGAGGGAGCCGTGACGTGTGGGCGTGCGACGAGGGCCTGTGGGGCGGAGCACACATTTCTTTCCCTCTTGTTTTGCTTTCTTTGCTGCCAGGGCGGGCAGACACCCGCAGCACCACACACACACAGCCACACCCTGCCGCCGTGTTTTTGTTTTCTTTTTTTGCTTTGTTTTGTTCATTTCATGTGCTGGCAGTCCCGTCAGCATTTCTCTCCCCTCTGATTTTTTTTTTTTTTGCTGCGCTCACTCTCCCGATGGAGTGACGCGACTCCCGTCATGTCTGCGTGCTTCTCTCAGTCCCCACACACACGAGTGACTGTGCTCTGCGGGCCGCACTCGCACGCCGATGAGAGGGCTGAGGGGAGCAGCAACACGCAGATGACCCCATGAAATATAAACGATGTGCGGACACAAATGGAGGGTCAGACGGTTGAAAGACATGCAACTATTTAATTTTCTTTTGTGGGCAAAATATGTGCGGACAGTTTGGTGTGGCCACACGGCAGCCAGGCGATTTTTAAATTTGTGTGGAACAGTAATGGACGATTTCTTTTTTCATTTATAATTATTTTGTGTGATGGGGTTTGTATAAGACGAGGGGGAAAGTTTTTTTTTTTTAATAAATCTTGTGTGAATTGCCACTGCTTGGGCTGCCGTGCAGTCATGAGTTTGAGCGGTCTTCTTCTTGCTGTTTCCGTTCTGCGTCTCCGCTGTACGTTTTGTGCGTCCCTCCACATACTCTGCTCTCTTTTCTACTTCTTTGCTTTGTGTTTCTGCAGGCACACAACAACCACACACACACACAAGATGCACATTGCAGTGGGTTTGAATGCTCTTTTTGCAGTGCATGCTGGCAGTTGCGTGTGGCGGCTGTTGTCTTCTTCCGTGGGCATGAAGAGGAGGGAGGAGGAGGGAGCGCGCAGCCCGAGTCCCTTTTCCTGCGGGTTTGTTGCACCGCGTGTGACTGCGTTGAGTTGGGCTCCGTGTTCCATTGAGAGCGGGATGGCAGTAAATTTGGGCTTTGCTTTGTTACTAGCTGGTGGTGCACTGGCGCGTGTGGCTGTTGTAGCGGGTGCTTGCTCCGTGTGCGTTGAGTGGTGGCTGCGGTGCTTTGGCCATTTCCCTGGGGCTGTAGAGATGAGCTGGGTGGAGATGGTGGTGGATGCCGTCTCGTGGTGTGTGAACCGTGCGGCTGGGCCTGCTGCGCTTTCCTCATGTTGTCTGCTCTCTCTCTCTCTCTCTCGCTGTATCCGCTGTGCCCCGTCCATCTCCCTCTAATTGCATTCTTTTTCTTCTGCCTCACCGATCAGCTGTCTGGCTCCGGCGACTCCATTACGGGTGATGACTGCGATGGCGATGAGTTCGATGATGGCGATTGTGACGGTGCGGCGCCGTGTTGTGTGCGCCGTGATGGTCCTTGCGCTCTTGTGCTGCTGCTGCTCGTCTGTGTGTGTGACGGCTGCTGGGAGTCCTGGACATGTATCTGGTGATGCGGATGCGGTGGCTGTGCTGGTGGATTTTTGTGTGCTCAGAGTGACGGCAGCCTGATCTATCGTGTGTGTGTGTGTGCTGAGGCTCAGCATGAGAATTGTAATTTCAGTGGCTTTGATGTGCGCATGCACAGCAGAGATGGTGAGCTGGGTGCTGTGTGCCATGTGGCCAATGCGGTGCACACATGTAGCAACTGTGCTGCCAGCTGTGCAACGAAGGAGGAAGGGGCCACCGTTGCCTCCACGATGAATGTGACGGCACATAAATACGCCGGCCCTTATGAATTGTGGCGGCGTCAATTTTCTCCGATGGAACCATCCATCCGCCTGCACGGAGCGGCGATGCTGACCGTACGGGCATCTGTCAGTTGCCGCCACCCCGTGAAGGGAAGGATGACACAAAATCTGGTGAGACAACTGCGCCGCAAGTTAATGCTGAGCCGTCACTTCAAAACGAGGATTGGCGACAGTCTGCGGCGGCTGACGGACCCAACACCGTCGATCGGATTCCTGCATCCAACACGGCGACCAACACGTCTAGGAAAAAGCCTCGCATTGCAACCGATCCGAACGAAAACGTGGCTCCAACACCATCCAAGAGGAAGCCTAGCATTGCCATGAGTTGGAACATATAAATGGATCCGAATGCATTCTTGACGAAGACTGCGCCCGCCACCGCGTTGAGGATGGCAGTGGGCTCGAAGGATGCCCGTAAGAGTGAGGCCGTTGACGGCAGCGGCGAGCACGTTCCTGGGAAAATTGCGGGAGGAATGAATGATCACAACGTCTCCGGAACACCAAAACGGCATCACGAAATGTGACCTTGCACGATCTGGAGCGGCGTGAGTCCAGACGGCCGCCTCGCCCTGTTTGACGACGTGAAGTTGATACTATGCGATTCAACTGGCGACCGCACTGTGCGTGTGTGCGTGTCTCTGGCGTTGCTGCTGCTGCTGCTGCTGCTGCTGCTGCTGGAACTGTGTGGAGTTGTGGTAGTCTTTCGAGCGAAAGAGGGTGGAATTGTGACTCCCCACGGGGGATATTTGCCGCATACTTTGCGGTTTTTATGTCACTGTTTTTTCTCTTCTTTTTAAAATGATTTACAGATCGCTTTTTAAACCTTTTTTTCTTCTTTATTACTGTTTTTTTTTTCTTCGTAATGTTCTTTTTGATGCTTTTTCCTCTGGAGTAATAAGTACCCTTTTTTCCTTCTCTTTATTAAATGTTCGGTTGATGTACACTGGAATGGGCGAAGTGTTTCCCTCTCTTTTGTGTGTTTCTTTTTTGTTGTTGCCCACACGCGGTGCCGGCTCCGTTGCTGTGCGTCCCACGGACCGCAGGAAAGGAGGATTGGAAGAAGAGGCCGGATGCCGCGTGAAATGTGAGGGATGTTGTGTGGGCTCGTGAAGCAGTACAATCAGTTTTTGTTTTTATTTTATTTTATTTTTCTTTGTGCAGGCAATATGAATGTACAGAAACACACGGTCGTCTGTATTGTGCTGCTTGGCACATGTAATAAAAATTGTGCTGAATGAAATTTCTTCATTTTTTCCGGGAGCCCTGCCGGACAATTAAATTGTTTTGTGTTTTTTCCTGCTTTTTTTACATTTCCGTTTGCGGGGCAGTGTGCGAGTTCTGCAGTCGTACCAATTCCAACTGCCTCATTGTGTGTTTGTTGCTGCTGCTACCATTTGTTACTGTGCGGTGGCTGTTGCGTGGCTGTGTGACGTGTCTCTCCTTTTGTTTTCACTCTGCGTTGACGTGTTGTTAGTTTGTGCTGAAGGCTGCACGCAAGTGACAGGAGTGATGACGATGATGATGACTGGCCGTGTGCTGCTGGTGTGTGCCCTCTGCGTGCTGTGGTGCGGCGTTTCGGTGGTGATGGCGGAGGCCGGCGGCGGTGATGCGGAAGAGAATATGGTCTTAACTTGGTATCCTGAGACTAAGAAGGGTTGCGAGAACCAAAGTACGAAGGAAGGAAAGTTGAATAAGTCAGCGTTTAAGAGCTGTATGCATGAATCGATGAAGGAGATTTGCGACGCTTATTATAGTGAGATGCCGAGTACATCTCGTGAGCCTGCAGCTGTGGAGATTTGCAACAATTACACTGGCGATCCAGAGAAGGCCGACGATGCCTCAAAATCGCAAGACAAATCGCCGCATGATGCGGTAACACCGGAGGCAGTAACAACTCCAGAAACAGCAAAGGTCGATGCAGCAGAAATGGGATCAACACCGGGAGTACCAGCGGGTGATTCACCAGCAAATCCAACAGAAGGGCCACACTCAACCTCAGCTGCCACCGATACTGCAAATAGTGAAGCTGAAAAGGACGGTAAAAAAGTGACGCTGAAGAATGCACCGGAATCCAACGCCACAAGGAAAGAAGAAGTAGAAGAGGGTGAAAAGAATCACAATAGTGCGAAGGAAACACCAGTCGACGCCGATACAATGAAAAATGTCACGACGACTGCCGGGAATGACGGCAGCACCGCGGTCTCCCACACCACCTCCCCTCTTTTGTTTCTTCTTGTTGTTGTTGCGTGTGCGGCTGCGGCTGCGGTGGTGGCCGCGTGAGAGTGAGTGAGAGAGCGCCATGCACCGCCCGCACACACACTCGTCTTTCACCCACTCTCTGTGTGTGTCCCCTTGCATGGACTCTCGCCCTCACCTCACCCCACGAAGCACACACATAATGTGCCCATTGTATATATTGCATGCACACCCATGCATGCCCGTTGGTGCTCTCTTTTGCACGACACGCACCGCTGCCGTCCTGCCTGGCTGCATGGGCGGAGCACCGTAACTGTTTCTGTTTTGTTTTTATTGCATTGAGTGGGCGACCTCTCACTCTCTATCCCTGTGTGTGTGTTTTGCTTTACGGGAGCAATGCGAGTGTGTGCGCTGGTCGTCCCACGCTTCGGATTTTTCTTTTGTTTTTCATTGTTTTGTGGTTGAGTGCACTCATTCCGGGGGCTGCGTGTGTGTGTGTGTGTGTGTGTGTGTGTGATGATATGAGTAATTTGCGTGTGTGCTATCTGCCTCTCTTCATTCCGTTGCTTTCTTTGAACAGTTGTGTCGCACAGCTGCTCTGGAAGTATATTCACTGACAAACACGCATGCACACACGCCATTATGTATACCCTGTAGAGCTGCGTGATTGCTGAGAACGGATGCACGTAGAGGATTCTGGCTGCGACGTTCCTTGCGAGGAGGGAGTACGGGAGCCTGCGATTTATTTTGACACGTTGCAGGCGTGCAGTCGATTGGGCGGTCTGGGTTAAGGTGCCTGGTACAAGTGCGGATTGCTTCTCGTCCAGCTGCTGTACGCGCCAATGTGTATCTCCTATGCTGTGTATACTTTGGTCAGGGATTCTTCGGCTGTGTGGGGTGATGTGCGTTGGAGGGTGCGCTGGAAGGATGAACAGTAAAATGACTGGCGACAGCGCGTGGGCTTTGCAAAGGACGGTTGTGTCCTTTTGCATTCCGCTGGTTGTTTTTTGTGTTGGTGTTTCTCGGTGTGTGCTGGTGCGTGACGAATAACGACGCACCCGCCGTGACTCCTGCTGCTGGTGGCAACAGTCGCTGTGTGTTCCCGGTGCACTGTTTCTCCGTCTCCTGTTCCGTGTGTCTGTGTGCGTGCGTTGTTGTTGTTGGGAGTGGCTGCGGCGGGGATGATAATGTCACTCTCTGTGGATGGGTGACGGTGCTCACTCTCTTGCTTCTTTTCTTGGTATGTTTTTCCTCTATTTCTCTCTCAATCACATACGTAGAAGGAAAATAGACTATAATCGCTACTGTGAAATTCGAGGGCACTGAAAGGACCAACAGCACACACACACCGCACACACACATATTTGTATGTTCTCACGTGTTGCTGCAGTGAAGGCACTCCGCACACACAACCGTCGCTGCGTGACCGGATCCAGCGGGAGGAGGAGGGAAGGAAGAGAGAGTGAGCGGCAGAGGCCCAACATGTCCCGGCGTGTGTTTGCTTCCGCGGCGCTGCTCCTCCTCGTCTTGATGATGTTCTGCGGCAGTGGAGCTGCGTCCGCTGGTAAGAAGTCAAGGTCAGGAAAAGGGTCGGAAACGGAGAAATATTTTGATTGGAGAGATACAAAAGATGGGGAAGCAGTGAGTTCGCTCCGTGTTCCCAGTCTTGTTGAGATGAACGGTGATGTGTTTGCCGTTGCCGAGGCGCAGTTGAAGGATGAAAGCGGCTTTACTGGGATTGCCTCGGAGCTCTTGACGTTAACTGGCCAGGAATTAAAAGAATTGGTTACAGATCAAGTGAAGACACAAGTACTGGTGGAATGTCCATCCGACAAAAAGAATTGTGCCTCCCATTCAGAAGTTTCGGCTGGTTCTCAGAGTGAGAAGAAAGTACATGTGAGCCGACCAACAACAGTCGTGCAGGGAAGTGATATTTACATGTTTGCTGGAAGCTACAGTTTTGAAGTTACTCATCAGACCTCTTCTGAGGCTCAATGGGGACTTTTGCTGGCGAGGGGCAACGTCAGTAATGATGCGAGCAGAGGCAACCGAATTTATTGGAGCGACGCTTACGTTATCCCGTGGATCCATTTTGAAACACAACACAAATCCTTGACAGGGCTGATTGCAGCGGC